GGAGAGGTGTCCCATGGGTGCTGAGCAGGAATCGGACTCTGGACCCCCGCCCTCACCCGCAGCAGCCCTTTCCCTCCATTGCCCACAGCAGAGGCCAGACTCAGATGAAACGTTCAGGGAAATTTATTAAACAGAAACATTGACTGAAACCATTGAACAGAGGGCATAACAACACACAGAGGAACTTCTAACGGCCACCGGAGCTCACGGGTCCCGGCCCCACCAGGGTCCTCAAAAAGGTGCCTCCGCTACACCCCACCCGGCGGCCCTCCATCTCCCCACAGTCTCCCTTCCTGAGGGCCCCGCGGGTGGCCTCTCGCCAGGAAGATGGGCGCCGGCCATGCCCGCTCCCCCCAGGGCAGATCCTCCATTTCTGGCCCACATGCCCGGGGCCTGGCCCTGCCCTATGGCGGGCACAGGACAGTCCCACAGCAGGGCGCACGCCACCAAGCCGGGGACGTGGAGTCCCGAGGAACAACGGGGTGGCCCAGCAGAACACAAGCCCTGGGGTCCTCCCGCAGACCTCCTGCAGCCCCGGTCAAGGTCTTCCTTCGAAGGTCGCAGGTGGGCTCCCAGGTCCTGGGGTGGGCGCTGGCTGTGACCTCGTCCATCCCGTCCTTCCCGCCGGCTCCTGGGACTGGGCTCGGGGTCTCCACGCCGTGCAGGGGTTGGGGGAACTGCTCAGAGGAGAACACATGCACATTTCCACAACAACAGGCAGCGCTGGGCCTGAATCTATGCCCAGAAAGCACACGTTGCGCTCACGACACTGGCCCACAGAGACCAGAGCCTTGGCTGGCACGTGGCGCACCTCAGGGCTCTGCGGGGGGACGATGGCTAGGGTGTGTGTGTTGGGGGGAGGGGAGCGGGGGCTGGGGGGTTCCTTGACACCTGGGTCCCTCTGGGGCCTACAGGGACACATTTGGGCTTGCCAGTACAGGGAGCAACCTGCCCCAGGGGATGATGAACAGGGGTCCCCTCTCAGGAGGGAGGCCCAGGCACCTGGAGTGGCCCCTAATATGGGGCCAGTAGGCTGCCAGGCCTGGCCTCCCCCTGCCTCCAAGCCTGGCAGCCCCACGGCCTGCTGAGCCTAGTGGCCCGAGGTGGACCCCGGGGGGCTCATCTCTGCAGCCCCATCCTCATTTCCCGGCTCTTCTGGGATGGGCTTGAGCCCCTCCTCGGGGGTCTCCTCGGCCTCCTGGCCTCCTGCCTGGGCGAGGCCCTCTGGCTCCCAGCCAGGACCTCCTGGGGCCACCGGGGAAGCACTGCCCATCCGGCCAGGCATGGGGACCCCGGGGGCATCTGAGGGTCCTGCCTGACCTAGGCCCGCAGGGGCGGCAGCACTTCCATCTTCCTGAGTGGCCGCGGACGCCTTGCTGGTCTCCCCAGGGCCAGGGGCTGCCCTGGCGGCACCATGGTCTTCAGGGGCCGCCTCGCCAGCCTTGGCAGTGCCGGCAACTGCCGCACTGGCCTCCTCACGTGCCGGGTGGTCCTCGGCGCTCCCTTCCTTGGAACGGGCGGCCTGGGCGGTGCTATCTTCACCGGCCGGGGAGGCCTTGGTGCCATGTGCAGTGGTGCCTGCGGTGATGGCCTCATGGGCCGGGGCGGCCTGGGCGGCTGCTGCCAGGACTGCAACGTCCACACGGGCCTCTTCCTGCCCTGGGAAGTGCTCCCTGCTAGCCGGGTCGGCGTCCCAGGCCTCGGTCTTCTGGATGAGCCGCAGCATCCCCGCAAAGCCGGGAGGCCTCCTCATCAGCCGCCGCCTCCTCAGCGTGTCCCGGAGCGTGTCGTTCAGCCGGGCCCGCGTCAGCACCTGCCGGGCGCGCGCCTGGTCCACCATGGCCGGGTGGATGGCCCCCTTCTCCAGGGCCGACTGCAGCAGGCCTTCCAGGCGCATCACGTACGCAGAGAGAGTCTCCTGGGGCCACTGGGCACAGGTCACGAACTTCAGCCGAGCACTCCCCCGGGGGTCCTTGTTCCCAAACACCTGCACCAGCGCGGCCAGGCAGTCCTGGGCAGCCAGCTCGGGATCTTCCGCCAGGAGGCCACGCAGGAGGTCCAGCGCGGGGCCGCGCAAGCTCTCCACCAGCCTCCTCCTCCTCTCCCTCTCAGACACGTGGCACCACAGGTGCAGCGTGTGGCTGGCCTGCTCCAGCCAGCTCTCAGAGGACCCTTCTCCGTGGCCCGGCTCTTCCATCCCAGAGAAGGTTCCCAGCTCCTGGTAGCCCATGCTGTCCAGCACGGGCTGCGAGGCCTGCCTCCACTGCTGGGTCCCGGGCCCTGCCTCACCCATGGCGCCTGCCGCTGTCACAACTGCTTCCTCAGGCGCAGCCGTTGCCCCGCCCGTGGGTCCTGCCATACTCAGAAGTCCTGCCACGCCTGCAACATTTCTGTAACCTGCAGCTCCTTCCTCATCTGACTCAGCTCCTGCTTCACCTTCAGCTCCTGCTTCACCCTCAGCTCCTTCCAGCCCTGCAGCTCCTTCCTCACCTTCAGCTCCTTCCTCACCTGCAGCTCCCTCCTCACCTGCAGCTCCCTCCTCACCTTCATCTCCCTCCTCACCTGCAGCTCCTTCCTCATCTGACTCAGCTCCTGCTTCACCTTCATCTCCTGCTTCACCTGCAGCTCCTTCCTCACCTGCAGCTCCTGCCTCACCTGCAACTCCTGCCTCACCTGAGGTTCCGTCGTCACCTGCAGCTCCTTCCTCATCTGACACTCCTGCTTCACCTTCAGCTCCTGCTTGACCCTCAGATCTTTCCCCACCTGCAGCTCCTGCCTCACCTGAGGCTCCCTCCTCACCTGCAGCTCCTTCCTCACCTGCATCTCCTGCCTCACCTACAGCTCCCTCCTCACCTGCATCTCCTGCCTCACCTTCAGCCCCCTCCTCACCTGCAGCTCCCTCCTCACCTGCACCTCCCTCACCTTCAGCTCCCTCCTCACCTTCAGCTCCCTCCTCACCTGCAGCTCCTACCTCACCTTCAGCTCCCTCCTCACCTGCAGCTCCCTCCTCACCTTCAGCTCCCTCCTCACCTGCAGCTCCCGTCTCACCTGCACCTTCTTCCTCCCCTTCAGCTCCCTCCTCACCTGAAGCTCCTGCCTCACCTTCAGCTCCCTCCTCACCTGCAGCTCCCTCCTCATCTGCAGCTCCCTCCTCACCTAAGGCTTCCTCCTCACCTGTGTCTCCCTCCATACCTGCGACTCCCGCCTCCCCTGCAGCCTCCTCCTCCCCTGCAGTTCCTGAGTGACCTGCAGTTCCTGCCTCACCCGCCCTGCCAACCACTGCTTGTCCCTGGGGCTGCGCAGGGCAATTGGGTCTATCCTGTGAATCAGCATCAGGGGCCTGGGGCAGGCAGACCACAGTCCAGGGCCCTCCCTTGCCTGGTATTTGGCGGGGGAGCAAGCTTCGATTTAAACACTCAGCAAACTCGACCAGGGCAACACTCGACCCCAGCTCCTTTCTGTAGACCTTGCCCAGCACTCGGTACCTGCCCAGGGAACGCAGGGCAGCCTGCATAGCCTCTTGGAATTCCTGGTCTTTGCAGTCATCTGGGATTCCCAGGATGAGCAGAGATCGCTGAGCGTTCACGCCCATCGACCTGCACCAGTCCCGCAATACCGCCAGAGCCATCGCCATCTTCGAGGACCTGAGGGTGGGGGGAAGCGATCAAACAGGTGTGCACAGGCTGTTGAAGTGTGGGAATCGGCCTGTGGGTGCAAAGAGGAGAGAATCATGTTTGTGCCACACAGCCCACCCTAGTGCCCCTCACAGCAGCAGCCTGGAGCACCTCCCTGCCCTGTTTGGTTTGTTTGACTTTAGGAAACTTTTTTTATAAATTACATTTATTTACAAGATAGAAGGCTAGGGACTTCCCTGGTGGCGCAGTGGTTAAGAATCCACCTGCCAGTGCAGGGGATACAGGTTCGATCCCTGGTCCGGGAAGATCCCACAAGCCGCGGAGCAACTAACCCCACGCGCCACAACCACTGACCCAGCGCTCTAGAGCCCACGAGCCACAACTACTGAGTCCACGTGACACAACTTCTGAAGCCCACATGCCTGGAGCCCGTGCTCTGCAACAAGAGAAGCCACCGTAATGAGAGGCCTGCGCACCGCAATGAAGAGTAGCCCCCGCTCGCTGCACCTAGAGGAAGCCCGCGCGCAGCAACAAAGACCCAACGCAGCCCAAAGTAAAAATAAAATTTAAAAATAATAACAAAAGAGCACTTGTTGCGTACGACTCAAGAAACAATAATAAAATAAAATAAAATAATTTTTTTAAAAAAGACAGATAGAAGGCTCGTCACCTTTTCTACATTTCTGGCCTCAGTTTTAGGAAGCTGCCTTTTTCCCAAGGAATTTTTCAAGTCTTCCAATTTGTTAGCATAAACATTTCCATAATGTCCCATAATATTCCCCTATATCCTCTTTGTTAATGTACATCTGATCCGTAACGTTGGCCCTCTTTCATTCCTCATATTGGGGATCAGCGTTCTTTCTATGTTTCCGTGATTCATCGTTCTAGGACTTGCTCGGTTTCCTTGCTCTTTTGAAAGAAGCCCGTGGCTTCGTTCACCGTGTCCATAATTTGCTTTCTATCACTGATTTCCTCTCTTAGCTCTCTTATTACTTCATTTTATGTTTCCTTTGCTCTTCTTCTTCTAGCATCTCTCAATGGACTGTTAGCTCACTGATTTTATGTCCTGACTCTTTTCTAACAGAAGCATTTAGAGGAATACAGTTTCCTCCTGTCGCTTTTTGCTGCCTCCCACTAAGTTTGGTAAGTTGTGCTTTTTTAGTATTCACTTGGAAATATTTTCTAAGTCCCTCTGTGATTTTTCTCTTTGATCCATGGGTTTCCCAATATTTGAAGATATATTATCATTAGTACCATCAAATAAAATTCCCCCGTGATGAGAAAACTTATCATGTAAACTTGCAATACTGCTAAATTTATGGAGACTGTTTTACAACTCTGGTATGGCGTGTCCGGGTGAATGTGCAAAGCACCCTCGTAAAGAATCTGTGTACTGTGTGTGGAGGCCAGGGCCTTGCCCTGCCCACCCACCTCTGCAATTCCTGTGCCACCCGGACAGAGGCGACCTGAAGCTCTCGATGCCTCATGCAGTGGGCCAGAGCCCCTCCCTGGACCCCCACAAATCCATCTGCCATGGCCAACAGCCTCCACCAGATCACAGCAGCCCCAGCGCCTCCCCCTCTCAGCTTCACTTACGCCCCCCCGTGGCCAGGCGGCTCCTCTCCGACCCCTCGCACTACATCCCCTCCATACACCCTCCCCCACCCACCAGCTGGTGGCGCTCCGCTCTGGGCCCTGGAAGCCGGGCGCCCCGCCATGCGTAGAGGTCAGACTGCCTCTCTCACCTCCCCACACCGGGGAGTCCTCCCCCGAGCACACTCAGCGCCAGGGGCTCTCGCTTCTCGTACCCCAGACGCAGAGCCCACCCGTCTTGCCCCCGCCCACCCGGGAGCCGGAGCCCCCTAACTGCCACGAGCGTCCTCGCCCCCCACCCCACGCCCCGCCCCGGCGGGAGCTCCCCTAACGCCTACCGCACCCGCGCCCGGGAGTCCTCCCCATCGACCCCCGCCTCAGCCAGGAGTAGCTCCCCCTTCCTCCCGCCACACGCAGCAGCCGTTAGCCCTCCCCTCCCGTCTCGGCCCCGGGGGTGGGGCCCGCCCGTCCCGTCCTCCCCACCCCCGCAGCCAGTCGTCCTCTCCTCTGGCCCCCAAAGCCGGCCCCACCCGACCAGTAGGAAGCCCTCCGCTCAGGCCCTCCCCCACACTTAGCCATTAGCCCCACCCTCTGCACCCCGACTCCAGAACGCCCCCCACCAGCCACCCCGGAAGCCAGCGGTCCTCCCCTCTGACCCGCTCACTGGGGGACCCTTCCCTCAGCCCCCCTTCAGCCCGCTACCCTCCGCCGCCGCTCCCCCACTCCCAACCGAGCAGCCCGTGGCCCTCCCCCGACCTCCACTCCTTCCCAGGGCCCCCGGTACCTGCGG